TGTTGGGGGCTTGTTTCGTTTTGTGATTTTACATTGAAAATATAAATCGTGTCGTGTCAAAATAGCACTCGTGTCGTGGTAATCTGCTTCTCTGCGGACTGCTTCTCATTTTCCCGCTCAATTTTAAGTGGTGCAGCACACTAAAGGGTCCGACTAGAAAGTTAAGCCACACACTTTGGTTCCACCTTTTGTGTCTGCAACTCTGCGCCACTGCGTAATCTACGTTCGGAGGAGGGGCCACAGGGGGGGCCAGAATCAGTGCTACAGGGGCACTGGCCCCCGTTGGCCCCACCCTAGAACCGCCACTGCAGGAGAGTGACATGAGAACCCAAAAATTATCTTCTAAACAAGGTCAAAATGATATTGCATGTTTTAAATCAGAAAAAAACAGAAAAAATAAATGAGATACAAAGTCAAGACTGACTTTATGAAAAGGAAACCACGGCCTACCTTAGTGGGGGAGCTGACAGGGAGGCAGGGACGCACTTTTGCAGCGCGTTAAGTGCAGAAACATCACTATCGTAGCTCGCGTGTACCGTTTGAAAATGCTTCTCCTGCCGCTCCAGATTTCCATTCTTTGACAATGCCATTAGTGAATTTCAGATCAAACAAACCTTTAACGAGAATAAATAAAAAAATATATCTCAAATGCTCTGATCGCGAGCTGCAATTGCAAACAGCTGACCGCGAACAACTCCCTGTAATACAGGCGATACGCCATTATACCCTCACCGGCCACTTTATTAGGTACACCAGTCCAACTGCTCGTCAACACTTAATTTCGAATCAACCAATCACATGGCGGCAACTCAGTGCATTTAGGCATGTAGACATGGTCAAGACAATCTCCTGCAGTTCAAACCGAGCATCAGTGGGGAGAAGAAAGGTGAGTTGAGTGGCTTTGAACGTGGCATGGTTGTTGGTGCCAGGAGGGCTGGTCTGAGTATTTCAGAAACTGCTGATCTACTGGGATTTTCACGCAGAACCATCTCTAGGGTTTACAGAGAATGGTCCGAAAAAGAAAAAATATCCTGTGAGCAGCAGTTCTGTGGGCGGAAATGCCTTGTTGATGCCAGAGGTCAGAGGAGAATGGCCAGACTGGTTCGAGCTGATAGAAAGGCAACAGTGACTCAAATAACCACCCGTTACAACCAAGGTAGGCAGAAGAGCATCTCTGAACGCACAGTACGTCGAACTTTGAGGCAGATGGGCTACAGCGGTGTTTTTCAACCTTTTTTGAGCCAGGGCACGTTTGTTACATTGGAAAAATTTTGCGGCACACCACTAACCAAAAATGTGATTAAATGACATTCTGAACAGTGTATTTAATTAAAATATAATTTCTCAATTTATTTATACTCAATCAGTGTGAAACCTGGGGCTGTTTAGATCAGGGTTTTTGGGAACTTTTTGACTTTTTTTCAT